ATGATGCGTATTCGGGCATATGCGTAGAGTAAAAATATCATACTTTACGCCGAAAAAACGAAACTGAAAGTTAAATGCGTTAACTTCCAAAAACCATACATAATCCAACGAAAATAAATAATTGGTAAATAACAGCTTTCTTGTATGCAAAGAAAAAAAATTAAAAATGTTAAAAAAGAGATGTCGACACAAAATTACATAGCCCCTTCAATTCTGAAGTTACTACAAACGAACTGTACCTTAAAATTTTCATATCCCAGAAGCAAAAGTTCCCATGACGAATATTGCTATCGCTAGCGATTGCAAAAACCAACTTGTTTTGAATTTTCTGTACTTGTATATCATTGAAATTCCTCGCAAGGACCATTTTCCAAAGTCATACGGCTTAATAAAATACACGAGAATGAAACAAACTGGGGAACTAAAAATTAATCTGAGCCGTGGGTGCACTTTCTTTCCTTTTTTTCGAATTTGGTGCGTGCATCCTATCTGTTTTCTAAAATTAAAGCAAATTAATCCAAATATGCAAGTAGATGAGGTAAAACGATTTTTATTCTACGACCTCAGTAAAAATTGGCGATAGGAGCTGCGTTTCAAAATACCATAGGAGTTCTTATATCCAACTAAAGAAGGCTATTGAAAATCATATAGCTGGCTGTAGAGAGCGGAGCAAATCATATAGCCGGGCTATACGAAGCTATAAAAAAGTATACAGCCGGGCTTTACACTTTATCGCCATTGGCTATAAAAAGCTAAAAGAAATTGTGTAGAAATTCGTATGCTTTGAAAAGCATTACTTAAGTTTGATACGGAACTACCTTAATATTTACAAAACACACATTATATTTTCCTTTAAAATATATTTTTTTTTTCATCAATTAAAATGAGAATGGTCCATTCAGAGTGTGCAAACATTTCAAAATCATGAGTTGAAAAACGCTGACTCCGCGAGATTAAATATTAGAGCCTATTACTAAGCGGAGCGGCGACGCACTGGCGCCTACAAACCTAACAGGGATACTTCACGCAATGCGCGTTTCGCGCTCTCTGCCCGCCCGCCGCGCCGCAGCGTGCCACGGCGTCTGAAGCAACTATTTCACACCAGAGGTACTGCACAGTATCATAAGAAATTGAAGGCGCTCCAACATATTAAGAATGACAGGCATCCTTCAAAAGTACGGAGCTTTCCTCACAAAATAAATCAAGACACTACGGCACAAAAAGAGAGCGGTAGTCCAAAAACTAACTAAGTCCTAGTATCCGTAATTAGTAACGTTTAGCATAAACTTTATCGTCTGGCTGTTGCTTAGTGGCCATCGGCTATAAAAGGCTATAAGAAATTGTACAGCCGGCTACAGAAGCTATTGGGAATCTTACAGCTGGCCCTAGGTCTGTCGTATTTTGGAACACACATTCTACTGTCAAATTTTACCAGGGGATCCTGACGCTGTTTTTCCCACACTTAGAAAAAAATTATTTAAAAAAATTACATGCCTTAAAAATCCATGTTTAAAAAGCAAAGCCAGAAACCTAAAAGAAAGTTCCACCATGATCAGTATCACTTTTTCCACAAAGTATCCTTGCTGTTGGGAAAAAGGCAGTTATGAAAGCGGTTAAAAAGAGGAAGGTTCTGCTTAATTAATCTGTTACGCGGACGAATTATAAAGGGACTTTCTTCCCTTCCTCCACCCTCTCCCTCACTGTGATAACAGTTCACCGAGAGAATAGTAGCTTAGAAAAAAGACAAGCCAGAGTATACAGCAAAGGCTCATAAACATAAAAATAAAACGGAAAAACCTCAAAGCGGAGATATTTTTATTAATAAACGCATTTAACACGCAAATTCGACGTTGGCTCGCTGCATATTTATTATTCTATGAAAAGAAGCTTTCGTGAAGATAATCAGGAGGCGGATTTGATTATAACGTAGGGAGGGGGTTGGGTTGTCGATGGGTAAAAAACTGAGGGGGAAAGCTGAGTGTTATCGTTGATACTTCCCAGACCATACTGGCGCAGTCGGTGGGGGGGCGGGAACCCCTCGGACTTATTAGATAAATTCAAAGAAAAGGAAGTTAAAAAACTTAAAATGAAAGTTTAAAGTAGGAGTCGGTGTAAAGAATATAAATTGCTCATAATGAACGCTAAGGGATGGTCAACGGCGAACGGTTTTGAGCTTTTGGATGGGATTGTCACCTCGTGCAGAAAAAACGTCCATTTTCTCGATATATCTTTATTTTTTAAAATTTACAATATGTTTTAAACATAATTTTTCATTTTTAATCGTACTTATTTTACTTGGCAAACCCAGTGATCTCCAGTACAAAACCAGTGCATCGTTTTTGAAACTAATGTGATTGTTTTTTGGTCTGTTCTAGGTGAGTTTCCACTATACCTCCACGCTAGGAACGGCTCAGACTGCGGTCCCTGTGAGGTTCATTTTAACTTATTTCTTAGGCATTATTATTACTCATGTTCTTTACCAAAATATTGACAAATAGCATCAGTGCGTGTGCTAGTGCACATGTGCAATAGTGAGCTAGATTTTTCAACATTTTACCGGAAGAAAATGTAAAATTTGTCCGGTAATGAGTTTTATTCCCGATGTAAAAACAATGTATCAAGTTTCCGGCAGAATAGGTATTTTAACAAAATGTTGATCTGTAAGGAATGTCTTATTACTCGAGCTGTTGCAAAAATGTCAACACAACAAGCGCTGATCAAAATTGTGTTACATTTTTTTATGATTTTAGTATAGTTTTTTTAGTCGCACCATTGTACAAGAGGCGAAATTCTGAAAAAAATTGAGCAAAAAAAAGAAGCCTCCACAATTTTAAAGGTACTTCCTAAATTTGCCCGCGGTCGCGCAATAAAGAACAATTAGACTTCTTCTTGCCACTGGGGACTAAAATTTTTGGCTCACATGTAAAAACACTTGTGTACATAGGGAAATAAATGGTACACGGAGAAAGAAACCTCGTGCGTGGGACCCGAAGTTTAGGTCATATGGATCTCTGAAGTTTTCAGATTGAGCGTCTGAACACTTTACGTCTAGCTGTCGAGGTTTGGATCACACATCTGAAACTTCAGTTTTTACATCTGAAGTACTTCAGTTGTAAGAACCGAAGTTTTTCGGATGTGAGAACCGAAGTATTTCAGATGTAAAAACCGAAGTATTTCAGATGTAAGAACTGAAGTTTCAGATGTGTGATCCAAACCTCAGCAGCTGGACCCTGTGTGTTCAGATGCTCAATCTGAAAACTTCAGATATCCATATGATCTAAACTTCGGGTCCCACGCACGAAGTTTTTTTCTCCGTGTACATACGTCCTTCCTAACTGAGTAAGAAATTATCGTAGTTCCAAATTTCAAAATGTAGTCAGATTTCCACCCCTGCAGAGGACTTGCACGTTATACATATCATTTTTTTTTTTTTAAAAATGATCCACATGTACATGGTCCTTGCAGCATATACTCAATTTTCAGCTCGGCAACCAAGCTTTCGGCTGCGTGCGAGCAAGCTCCGAACATCACAGTGGGGCGATCGTTGTTGGCGCGCGAAAGTTTCCCACCCTGTATTCGGACGTATCTATGCTACAAGGAACTATATGCATAGGGTTTCCGCGTAACA